GATTTCGCCCAGTGAAAACGACTGATCGGGTCGATAAGACCCGTCGTCGGCTGCGACAAAGTGGCTGAATGTCACACAACGAATATTAACAGCTCTATTCACCAGACAGATGTCTAGATAGGACCTGACCTCTGTCGCGACCGCTTTACATGCAAACACGCTGCCAACATAATAGACTGTACTCATATTTATAGTGTTTTAGGAACCTTGAAGAGAAAAGAAAGGGTGATAAAAATTATGTGAAATGTTATGGTGCTTCAGCTCTTGATGTGTTCTTGGGATTTGACTGTGAAGTGTAACTGAATACAGATGAAAACGATGTAGAAGACTCTTCATGTTTGGATTTTGAGTCAATAGACAAAGCTACATATAAGTAGAAAACTTCGAGAAGGTTAATAATTCATTTTATTTGGTTAATAACTGCATACAAATACTACGTCTTATAACAACTGCAGTAAAAACAAGAATCTAGAGCCCAAACACACACACACACACAAGCAAATAATTACAAAACACAACAACAATAACATGTACGTACCGAGAAACACCAATACGAAAAAAGTGAACATCAATCAAAATCATAACAAACCGAATCTTGTAGAGAACAATTACAATAATTACGAACTTCCTACTTCAAAAAATAAATAGCAGAGCAAAAAAACGCAATAGGTACACAAGGTTAGCTGGTTCATTTATCATTGGCTGATCGTGTGAAACGCTAATTGCTAATTGATATGATTTATGGCCATATAATGTTACACTTGGAAGGAAGAACATATACATATGTAGAAGTAAATGGCTTGACCAGGTGTCTATTAGGTGTATCGTCTCGTCACAGAGTATTAGTCATTCAAATAGACGTATCCGTCACGCATTGGCTCCCCAAGGGGTAGCCACGTGTATTGTTGAATGAATTTGTAATATAAATATTAATCCATTTACATGGGTAATGGAATCTAAGCTGGCTAAGTTCATACTACTTAGGTAAGCTTTAATTCTTTAATCTTTAGTAGTTTAATCTTTAGTTAATTCTTCATTTCCAGAAAGCGCATAGAAAGCGTCACAAACGTAAAAATAAAAGCATTGACTATAGGTGCAGTGTTAGAAAAGAGAGAATAACAGATCTAATTGGAAACACGAAAACCAATAAACGAAAAAAATAACGGCATCAGAAAGGTAAGTCTAAAGAAATATTAAAGACAAAAATATGCCATTCATTCCAAATCATTCAATAGCATTGTCGTTCATCATTACACGTGATAAGCCTACGACAGTTTTTGGCAATCAACTCATTCAATTGAATTATCTATCAGATGAAAGATCTGAATTTTCAATTAGACGTATGCCAACATTTAATTAATTGTAACAATAGTAGACAAAACAATAACAGCTCGAGTTCATAAAAACAAGCAAAATACAAAACTAAAGTTACGTACGTACATAAATATAGTTCAAGTTATTCACTATTAATGTAGAAACAAATTAAAGATAACAGAGAAACACAAGCAGACAAGCCAGTGCATAGCCTTTAGCAACTGGAATAAGCAGCTGTTCCTAACGACCTGTTGAATGGTACCGCTCCGTACAATGCTTTCATTTTACACGAAAATAATGAAAGTGAAGCCATTCGCAATTGGAAATGAGAATATAATGAAAACAGTGTTTCTTAAAGAAAAATTTCTTTGCAACTGATTAAAATGATATTTGTGTAGGAAAAAAGCTCGAGTTGATCTACAGTAAGGTACTGTATTGAATACTCAGAGAATAAATCGACTATCTTTGGTATTATGAAATAAACTATTTAAATTAAAGTTTGCAGGTTTTACTTTTAAAATAATAACTTACAAACTTAAAATGAATATCGTACAGCATTAGGTTCTCAAGTTATTGTTACATCTTGTTCATCCAGATCCACTATTTCCAATTCATTCCGGAAACTTACGAGTCTTTAAAGTACTCACTCTCATAATCTCAGTTCACAATCTTAATTACCATCTTTTATTGCAAGACTTTTATTATCATTATCAGCATCAAGTAATAATAATAATTTATGAAGGAAGAACAAAGATGTTACTATTGGAAATAGAGTTCAAAGATTCTAAGTCATTACATAAAATAATGTGGTATTTAGTAAAGTGCACTGCTTGTCTACAACTTTATTACTTCGACATTATACTTGGTTGCATTATAAGCATGCATTGCATACGTAATCTGCCATATTTCACCTGTATTAATATCATCCGGTTACTCCTCAACCCTTTTTTGTAAACCATCCATGACATTAAATACCATTTCATTAAAGTTAAAATTTATAGAAATAATAACAATGCTGCTGTAAATTAGGGCCTTAATTAAAAGCTGAGTGCTGTTAATTGGCTTCAATTAACGATGGCTCGTATTAAAAGCGACACTTGAGAGTTGTGGCGTCGCAACAAAGTGTGAAAACTGTCGTTACCAGATTGTATCAGTTACAATGAATGACGTTGACGACATAAAACAAACGTGGATTTAAGCTTTAATCCACGCTTTCTCTGGAGATAAAAAGGATGAAGTGTAAGTGAAATTGGGCAGGGTGGTGATGTAAGAAACTCAACTGACAGCGAAATGCACACGTAGCGCACATAAAGTGGTAAAAGCTAGATTAGGTTTATGATTGCAGCTGAGGCGTGGAATCGAACGCCTTTCTCTTGTTGGTAACAAATGAGCCGGGATGGGTGCTTGATTTATTTATTCAAATCCGATGGCCGGTGATTCCGGTCACGTCTGCAGTTGGTTCATAGTCTGGGCACGAACTATAGAGGTGTCGCCGATTTGTGATGATACGAGCACTAGTTAACGTGTTTTGAATAATTGCTCTCACTTCCGTGTTAAACGTTAATTGATGGGGACTCTTTTATATTTATGGTGGTCGTTCGTAAATGTGTTCCATGTTAATGGGTTTTTTATTTCCCTTGGAAGAGATTTTTGGGGCATTTAAACATTTTCGTTACCATGGCAACGTTGTTAATATGAATAAACAGGAGCCAGATCAGCGAAGTTTCCAAATAAAGCCATACATAAGTTTATAATGGAGGAGTCATCATAACAAATGATTACAGAACTAGGTAACATGGAACCAAAGCTGTTTGATGAGCATTGCGTTGCCAATGCTGTCGATGATTGCCTAAGTTCAGTCACGAGCGGGTATAATTTGCAAGTTTTGGCATTTGCAGTAACACCGACTGCACGCAAAACAAAAACTTTTATTGTTATAATCCTTACAGTTATTACTCAGCTCGGAGGTAAGGCGATTGACCCACAGTCCTTTGAAGTTGAGAGAAAAATACGGTACATTGTTTGTTTGTCTTTTATTTTATTTTAAAACAAAGACGTTTTTGTTGAAGATGAAGAGGCTTTTGCTTAGCAGACTTTGTTGAGTTCAATGTTGGATATTGAATGCAAAATTGGTAGGAAAGAACACAACGAAAGTCGGTAGTCAACGCGATATTATTTCATATTAACGGCTACATTCAGTCATTTACCTACTGTTTTTTTTATACGTGTAATGCCTCTAGGCAAGAGCTACTTGTAAATTTTAGTACATCATGTAAACAAGAATTCCAATACATGACTAAATTACCTACAAATCTTTTAACGCATATGTAATTTGGATCATAGAATAAACACAGATTAGCTTTTAAATCCACGATTTCCATAACTATAACGCTTATTTGCTCAATTCCAAAACCAACATGAATACAAAACATGTACCTACACCCATTTATTAATAATCCTAGCTTTACGTCCAAAAATAGACAAGCGTCCATAAATTAAAATTGCAAATGGACACGTAGTTCAATTAAGCATTGACAACAGACCTCTTTTGTTGGGTAATCCTCTACACAAATACGGCATTACGTGATTAGCACATTTCAAAGGGTTCCCAACCCCTTGGGTCAAATAACGGGGAAAGGGTTGTTTGTGTTCGAAGCCAGATAAATTGATGTATGTAATTAGACATAGTAATGCAAGGGTTGGCCCTTTGAAGACTAATGTAGGAGGAAGCACGGTAGCCGTTTATTTGAAATTTTATTAAGGAATGTTGTCAATAGATGGCGTTACTTGTAGGTTGATGGGTTGTGTTAAGATGTAATTTGATTATTTGCTGGTGAGTTTGCTTTATAGAAAATATTATAGTAGTTAGATAGATAGGATAAGAGACTGCAAGTCTGAGATATTTGTTAAATACTTTTTTTTTTAATTTTGAGTACCTAGTTAATCTGTTGTATTAAAACTCCAAACATTACAATATTTTTTCTCCAGACAGAAAAACAATTCTTTCTGAGAAACGAAATAGCGCTTTAAGTTTACCAGCGTTAGTAATTACGGGGCACTCACGTTCGGAAGTTATCGGATAGTTTCGGGCAAAGTCGGGCGCGCAGGCGCACCGTTAGCGTAATAACCAGCTGACTCGCGAGAAACAATTATCCAGCTGATGTTACGTTGCCTCAACTCTACAACGGGATATCGAGTGCGTGAGGTGGACTTATGTCACGATATAGGATGGAAGATTTATAGATTAACGAACCTTGTCCTTTAGGAAGGCTAAACTTACAGAACGTTTTATCACGGTCCTTAAATCTACACAACTTCCATCTTTTCTATGGGAACACAATATGTTCTCTTAAATCTTATAGGGAATATTACACAAATCTACTGGACTAAATCAGCCTGTATAAATACTTTTTGCACGCTTTTCCAAAGAAATTACTATACAAAGAAAGCTTCAAATTTATAATTTAATCAGTAGCTGGGTGTGTGGGAGAGCCATGCTTCGGCACGAATGGGTCGGCTCGACCGGAGTGATACCACGGCCTCACAGAAAACCGGCGTGAAATAACCACTGCGTTGTGTTTCGTCGTGTGAGTGAGGTTACCGGAGGCCAAATCCTTCCCCTTCCCCAATCCCTCCTCAATCCCTAAATCTCCAAATCCCTAATCCCTAAAAGGTCGGCAACGCACTCGTAACTCCTCCGTTGCGAGTGTCCATGGGCGGCGCTGATTGCTTACCATCAGGTAATCCGTCTGCTCGTTTGCCGACCTATTACATAAAAAAAAGCTTTAGTTGTCTTACGATGATTTTCACAAATTTTCATGGAACCCCACTCTTTCCTATTCCCCCCACACTAGGATTTTTTTCTATGTCGTGAGAGCGTTTATAAACACACAACCTACAATTTATATACACATCACATCGAGACCCTGAATAACAATTTCTTTCAAATCACACAGAGTTTTTACCTTGCTGGCATCCAACGTGCAGTCTAAGTACTGCTGGCAGCATCTTCGAAAGGAGAGTTTGTTTCATAATCCAGTGTTGTCTAAGCCAGTTTAGAAATGACATAAAACTTGAAAAATGTTACCATTGTAGTACTTGCCAGTTCCCAAGCCCTTATGCTAAAGACGCGATCGCCATAGACCAGGATACGACAAAGAAATGTGACGTTAAAGTTTTGTAATTTTTACGGTCGAGAAGCATCCGTACTAATGCAACTTCCAGAACATAATGGCGGCTTTTCCCTGTGTAATTGGCATACATAATTACTGTACTCTTTGTAATAGACACAGTACAATGGAAGTCATTTGAATACGTCTGCTCTATGAACGAGGAACTAAAAATTCTTGCGTTTGTTTTTTATATTTGCGTTCAAAAGCATGCTACTGGCGTTCCGTAATGTCATTGAATTAGTGTAAATACTTGATTTGAATTAACAAACATATTAAGCAGACTTTAAACAATACTTCTGTTGTAATAATCTTTGGGTACCTACTATATTTTTATAGGGTAGATTGACAAACGACCACATGGATCCTCTGATGATCACAATGAGCGCTGCCTGTGGTCACTCACAACACCGTGCGTGGTGTCTTACCGGAATTTTGCGGTTTGTTCGAGATTTTGGATTGGGGATGAGGAGAAGAAGAATGGGGCCTCCGATAATCTCACTCCAATAGCAATATCGCTATTTGTTGGATATCGTCTCATTATCTGTAGCCTAATCGTTTACCTATGTGGAAGGGCAACCGGTATCCAGTTCTTTTTTATTAAATCTTGTTCTGTAATGGACAACTTGATTAACTTGAAGCAAATTAATTGACGCGTATCGTAACAAAAGAATACAAAGAAACCCTTTCTCGAAAACAACAAAACACCGAAGGACCAAAACCCCCATTGAGTCGTAACGAGTAACTAAGGTTTAGATAGGAATCTCCATCGTCTGTATTGGACGTCGATCAGGCTGCAATGTTATCAGATGGCAATGATTGCCAGCCGTAATTAAGCTGTATGGCGACCGCCCATTTAAAAATGCTATAGACGGGAAACTTAGAAGCTAATATCAGGCAACTACGGCCGCTTTACCTAGTATAAGAGTGAATTTAATATTCACTGTTTTAAATGATTCTTTTGCCAGTATAGTTTTTTAAATCTCACAGCTGTGGTATGTAATCTAGAAGTGAAGACGGAATTGATTAAAATTGTAGGCATTTGGCGGTGGCTTCAGGTGTGATTTAAGGTTTATTTGTCAACTGGATATTGTGGCCCAGAACCTTGCTTAAGAACCTCATCACCATCAGTCGATAGACGTTCACTGCTGGAGAAGGGCCTTCTCCTTTCTTAGTCCCCCACGTCGAAGAACGACTACTCGTCACTTGCATCCGTTTGCTCCTCACGACTCTAACGACGTCGTCGATCTACTAAGCAGGAGGTGTGCTCACGCTACATCCTTCTAGCCCATGATGACCACTTAAGCATCAGGACTAGAAAAGTCTGGAAAACGAGAACCTTCAGCCCACCGAACGATGTCCTTGTAGACAAAAATATCCTAAACCACACAGTTCAATAACTTCCTTCCGTTACTTATTAACATACAAATAAAAATAGCCAACGGCCCCCCAAATAAAAACGTATGCAGAATATGCACCACTACGTCTATATAAAATTGCAAAATCCGACAACAGTTGCATTCACGAGTTGCCCGTCTGCAAGGAACCTTAATGAGCTCATCATTAGCACGACTCCCGATCCGATTGAAAGGGACCTTTGAGCTGAAGGCATTAAGTGGATGAAAGCAAGGAAATAGACAATTGAGTCGTTATTTTGTTTAGTGTTAGATACTTTGACTTCAGATCTGAACTTGTGATTGAGGATGGGGCAAAGTTTTTACAGGATATATTTTTCGAGGCAAATACAAAACGGGTACCAACATAAAAAATTGAGCTAGGCTTTTTTAACAATTGGGTAGTTTCCAAGGTTAAAAATAAATTAATTCGACGTTTCAATACAATAAAATATTGAAAAATAACTATATTTTCATTCATCGATCTGTCGATACACTAAGTTTTATTTATATTTAAGAAGTAAGTTAGCTATTTGACGCAAAAATAATATGACGTCATAACTCATTGTTTCATACAAAAGTATCGTTTTTGACATTTGGATAAAACTATTGAATTCGACTAGTTGGAAACCACCGTATTCTCGGTAATAAAGTCAAAGATTCATGGAAAAGTCCTCTTAAAATAATAAACCCAAATTCATGAACACATTACCCTAGAAATCTAGATATTAACCTAATAACTACTAATTTATTGTTATCTACTACTTTATTGTTATCAAACACTGAACGGATGTTTGGAATAAGACAAACATTAGTATCAATCAGTATTTGCGAAGATTATTTATAATATTGATATATTAAAACATCCTTCTATGTGCCCTTTCATGTCCTTAGACTGAAGTCATTCGAGGTCGTTGACCTTAGTTCTTCTTTACGTACCAAAGTTTATTGTACTACGAATTCCCATCCATACCCTTCACCTCAATACTCGGCTTGAACAGCCCGTGAGAATACACCGCTAGACAATGGGGATCTCCTCTTCAAAAACTGGGTTTTGCAAGTCTCCACGCTGGGCAGGCGAGACGGAGATAGCGGTTTCAAAGAGCCAGGTTTACAAGAGAGCCTTAATGCTAGGTCTACAGACTGTCAGAAATCTTTAAATGTCAAAATATAATAGTTGTCCGCCGGTCTGCTTGTTTTGTTCAACTTTTAGAGAGCCATCCGTTCTCTTTCCAATACGAGGAGTATAGCTGCCAAATATGTACCTATATTACACTGTCACCAATTCACCATATGTCGAATTCATTACTCCCACAAACCATCCTTTCTCATCTCTTATTCCTTCGAAATTTGAATTCAAATTTAATAAATCTCGCCGCGAGATGTCATCACGGATTGAAGTATGACGTCATAATGCAGTTGTTATCGTTGGGCCGATCCTCCAGCAACATGGGGCTGCCCACGCCACCATAACTCCACCACCCCCGTTCTCAGCACCACAGTAAATACGTCAAAGCCAACATTAGACTTAATAAGATACTTGCATAAACCGATTCATATCTCTCTTCGAACGCCTTCTAAAATCTGCACTTAGTTACACAGCAATGAAAAACGAACTTTATTTTAATCATTGTTAGTTACAAGTTTTCTTGTAGGTATTTTTTTAAGAGTTTTGGTGACATCACTTTCTTCAATGTGAAGACAAAATACTTAAAAAAATCTTAACAAAATTCAACTTTACACCTACGTAATAAAGTTGACAATCGGTGACAATTTTGGGTCTGTCTTTGTATGAATAAAGTTGGGTAAAAATGATATCACCGATTTACGAAGAGTGCACCCACACATCGAACCCGCGTACGGTCAGGGTGAGTCACCCAAACTGGTAATATTAAATGCACTTGTAGGAGACATTGCATTTATAATCGAATAAATCAAGACTGGAAGAGACATGGAAAATATAAATCCGTCAGTCTATCTGTGTTCATAAGATTACTCATAAACTTATAGATACTCAAATATGTCATTCAAACTATTTGTAAAATCTGTAGTAGAAATGTTAATCTATGTATTAATTACTATTATTATATTATGTATGAATTACTATTATTATAAAAGCGAAAGTAACTCTGTCTGCTTGTCTGTCTGTCTATCTTCTCTTCACGCCTAAACTACTGAACCGATTTCTGTGAAATTTTGTAAAGACATAGTCTGAAACTCGAGAAAGGACATAGGATAGTTCTTACACTAAAAATCTGCAGGAAGTCACTGGCCCATGCGAACGGAGTCGCGGGCAAAAGCTAGTTTTACAATAGAATGATGGCAATTTCGTTAAAAACGAACTTAAATCAAATGGAGCTATGGGAAGGCAATTAAAAATTCTCTAAAGCAAGAAAATGTAAACGTCTCGAACAATTTTAATTAAAAGCCCAAGTAATAATTGACTTTAGTCCGATAAAATTCCTAAGCATTTGCTCCATTGAAATAAATACGTATACTATAGGTACTATACTAACTGTTTTCTGAATGTAAACCTTATCAGTACTTACTGTAATTACAATTAGAACCGTTTCGACCAGTAAACTTAATCAACGAACATAAATTAATTTGATAAAATTATCAAGTTTTACAGAATACTAAATGCAGGGCATAAATTTGATAATACGACCACCTACAAGGACGCCTAAATACAGAATTTGTCGTGAGATAACTATTCTAAGTAAAACGCGATTATTATCAACCAATTAGGTCGGATAGCAAAAATATACAACTCAATATAAACATAATATAATGCTATTTTTGTGTAGACTATAAATTATGGTGGCATACAAAATTTATTGATAATAACGTGAATTTAACCGAGAAAAGCGTTCTACTAGTTTCAAGTCACATCGGGACCCTTATTTATGAACACGAGATTTCTCAGTTGATTCAAGTTGCTATGTTCAATAAATAAAAACATTAAACGCTATTTTGTTATATCTATCGTTAGGTTTTGCGAAATAAAAATATGATACTTAATGGGCATTAATTTCAAAAAACCAATTACACTCATGACTCAAAATTGAACTCAATGACTCTAGCCCAAACATTCTTCAGTACCGCCGAATACTAAATTATTCAAAAAAAATATAATCATCTTTAATACAAATAAAAAAATCCACAATTTTTTGTCAAAAAATATAACTATTCCAGTAACTTTACATTTGTGTATGTGGTATCAATAAGTTACAAGTAAGATTAGGGGTGCCACCCCTAACTACAGGGGTGTCCCTAAGAGACAAAATAACCCTGAATTTGGATGATAAAACATAATTTATGAAAGTTAATTTACTCTAAGGGATTTTAATAATATTTTTTGTATGGTAACATTAGTTGGAAGCACAGCATATGTTAATTAATTATTAGATAGGACTTTTAATTCCAAATTATAACCCGGGCGTTGAATAATACGAATATGTTTACAATATTTTGAACTGTAGGTATCTGAGCCTTGATGTTAATTCCATCTAGTTTCAAAAAACAATTAATAATCCTGAAAATATACTGAAGAATATATCTATGTCCGCCTCCCTTCAGAGGAATACACATTATTCTATGTAAATTAAAAGCTTCTAGTAAAATCTGGTAAATGTTATGTAAATAATATTAAAATTTTATAAGAATATGAACTATTAAAATGACGTGAGGTCAGATAACAGTGCTATCGCTCGATTATAAATGTTTAGTAACGATAATTTTACTTAACGTTAAGATAATTATTGTGAATTCTATCTATCTATTTGCCTTTTTAAGTGGTAGGGCGCCAATCAAACAGTCTATTGACCTACCAGGGTTTTAACAAGCCATCCTATACTAAACCAAGTCAATCTCAATCTTCAACTATAAAATGATGAAAATAAATATCCCCGCAACTAGAACTAATACACACGACACATCATGTTCTCAAACACTCAATCACGTTTCCTTGCGGTGGACGCACGACCAACTAGCACAGACACAAGCACCTAAACCTATCCCAATCTGTCACATTTCTTCAACCGATATTCAACTTTATTCTTCAATGATAAAGGTGAAAATGGCTTTAAGAAATTGGAAAATGTAGGGTAGTTAGTAGTGCTGCTGTCTGCATTATATCAAGTCAATC